TGTGTCTTTTGGTTTATTCTTGCTGTTCGTTTGTGGTATCTAGCAGTTAGTGTTCTTGTTCTCTTTTTATTTGTTACATTTCACCGTTTTCTCATAGTTCTTTAATTGCTGTCATAATTGATGTTATCGTTTTTTGCGTAGGTGGTCAATTGAGTCTCTTTACGCGTCGAGCTAATTTATTGTATCTTTATACATTATTCATATTATCCTACGGTTTAATTAACTCCTTATTATTAATCCGCACCAAAAATATTCTTATGTGATTATGCTGTCGTCAGGCAGAAAAACTTCAAAGACATTTTGATTAATATAAATGTATTTTAGTTAATTGTTGTTGTTGTAGATATCAGAAGTTGTACGAAATTGCAGTTGTTAGTTTGTGTTGTTAGTTGTATGGTTAATTGATTTATGGGATAGTAAATGCTTCGTTAAGAGGCTCCAGAATGGAAATTTGTTAGTTGTTGTCGCCGCGAATCGCTTTTGGGTGGTTATGCCTGTTATCAGTTTTCTTTGCTGTGGTGTTGTAGCGTGTTGTTATTGAACCGTAGAGCTCGTTCAGGGCGTTTTGGAGGCGAGTCGTAGGGGTTGGTTAGTATGCTTTTCTAATTGCAATTGGTTGTGGCTGTTGTAGCGTTGTTGTAATTGTAGACGCGGCGCTCTCAAACCGGTAATCAGACACACAGACGCACGCATCACACACACCACACACAAACACAAGCACACCACATCAACCACACACACACACACACACACACACACACACATCACAACACAACACACACAACCGACATATAAATAAATAATTATATATATATATCGAATATAGCAGCAGCGGGCTATCGAATCATAAAGCGCAGAACGTGGGAAGCAAAAATACTACAGTGAATACTTAGTGGTAGTAGCTATATATGTATGACTATTTAACGGCTATCCGACAGAGTAAGCAATAGTCCGCTTCGTATAATGAGCAAATATTGGAGGGTATCTAAAGGTATGATATGCACTAATATATAGTCACTACATACTAGTGCTCATATATATTATATATCACTTCTATCGAAACTATCGCACCGGGTACTGAATTATTAGTACACGGAGGCACGCGAAATAAGATGAGTAATTGATTGAGAAATACAATACACGGCATATATATAGGCTACCTATTATAAGTATATATTATAATATGTAGTAAAGTTGAAACAATAAATAGGATTCAACGAGTTGCATGAAGATAATAGCGTAATATGCTACAGTATCTAGCTGTTGTTATGTTATAGTTGTTGTAGAGCGTTTTTTGACATTACAATTATCATAGAGTATATATAGTTGTTTGACTTATATATATGAGAACTGGTGCGTATCAAAATAAACACAACCTGTACCTATCCTCCTCTGTATGTTGCTAGATCGCCACGTGTTCCTTCATTAAGTAAATTAAAGTTATGCACTGAAGAGCGTTATGGTACACTATTTATAGTCACTTATGCTATTTATTTTTTTATTTAAATTAATATTATTTTTTATTTTTATTGGCTTATTTTATATAAACGCTATGACAATTATTATTCTCTATTTTTTGACTTTCCGATGTTATCACTTTATATGATAGCATGACAGAGTGAAATACGGGGCGCTTATAACTCATCAGAACTCCCCTTCCTTAATCCTTCCTTACTTCTTTCACTTCTATCTCCTCGCATCTTTCACTTTCTAACTTTTTCACAGTCTCATTTCTTACACTTCTTCTCTCTCCTCTTTCACTTACTTCTCGTCTTCTTTTCTTTCTTCTTACTCACTATCTTCTCTCTACTCTTTCTATCTTCATTCTTATCGTTCTTCTTCTCTCCACATCGTTTACTTCAATTCACCTTCTTAATCTCATATACTTTAGCTTAATGTCAATATCCATTACTTCTAATACCACTGCTTCTATTAGTACTTCTTCTTCTTTTATACGCCACATATAAGTCACGAGCTCTTAGGGCGCTTCACCTCCTTACCTCTTTCTCCTCCTCCCTCCTCTCTTCTTCTCTACTATATTCTTCTTCACCTTCTTTTTTCAATTCCTCTCCTTCCATATCTCCTACTCCGTTTGGCTCTGTCTTCCCCTCTGCAAACTAATCTTTGACTTTCTCTCCCATTCTCCAATTGCTGTCGCTCTCATATGTTGTTCCTGTTGTTGTTGAAGGCTTTGTTGTTTGTTGTCGTTGTTGTTGTTGTTGTTGACGGCGGAAAATCTGCCTCCTTTGTCTGTTTGCTTGTTCCTTCGTCTCTTTGTAATCAACAGAGGGAAAGGAGAGAGAGAGAGAACTCGCCAAAGGCCAACCCTTTGCAGCTTCAGGACAGATGGTTCCCTTTGCAGCTTCAGGACAGATGGTTCCCTTTGCAGCTTCAGGACAGATGGTTCCCTTTGCAGCTTCAGGACAGATGGTTACCTTTGCAGCTTCAGGACAGATGGTTCACTTTGCAGCTTCAGGACAGATGGTTTGCTTTGGCAGCTTCCAAGGCAGCTTCAGACAGATGGTTCCCTTTGCAGCTTCAAGGACAGATGGTTCCCTTTGCAGCTTCAGGACAGATGGTTCCCTTTGCAGCTTCCAGGACAGATGGTTCCCTTTGCAGCTTCAGGGCAGATGGTTCCCTTTGCAGCTTCAGGACAGATGGTTCCCTTTGCAGCTTCAGGACAGATGGTTCCCTTTGCAGCTCAGGACAGATGGTTCCCTTGCAGCTTCAGGACAAGATGGTTCCCCTTTGCAGCTTCAGGACAGATGGTTCCCTTTGCAGCTTCAGGACAGGATGGTTCCCTTTGCAGCTTCAGGACAGATGGTTCCTTTGCAGCTTCAGGAAGATGGTTCCTTGCAGCTTCAGGACAGATGGTTCTTTGCAGCTTCAGGACAGATGGTTCCCTTTGCAGCTNCCTCTTATCATCTCTCTCTCTACTTCCTCCCCACCCTCTATCTCTCTCTCATTCCTCTGTCTACTCTCTCGATCTCTCTACCCTCTCTCTCTCTCTTCTCTCCTCCTCTTCTCTCTCTCTCTCTCTCTCTCTCTCTCGTCTCTCTCATGTTTCGGCTCTCTCTGCTCTCTCTCCCACCCTCTTATCTCTCTCTCTCTCTCTCCCACCCTCTTATCTCTCTCTCTCTCTCTCTCTCTCTCTCTCTCTCTCTCTCTCTCACTCTCATCTTCGATTTCGTAATATATCGCTCTTCATGGTATGCCGATTTTCGACAAGAACGAGAAGCGCGAGCGGTTTTAATTACAAATACCAAATCATTTATATAACAAAATCATTCAGCTTGCTCCCTTTTTCCAAATTCTTCATCCCCTTTTACTGCCCACTTTTATTCCACTATTATTTCATTTCCCGTACTTAGCGATCATCTTTCCCCTTCGCCCTCTTTCTTCCCTCTCCTTTCATTTCCTCGTTCTCTCTCTCCCTGCTCGTCTGTCTCTGTGTCTCTCTCCCTCTCTCTCTCTCTTATCTCTGCCCCCCCCCTCTTCTCTCTCTCTGTCTCGTCTGTCTGTCTGTCTCTCTCTCTCTCTCTCTCCTCTCTCCTCTCTCTCTCCTTCTCTCTCTCTGCTGCTCTCTCTCTCTCTCTCTTCTTCTTTTTCTCTCTCATCCCCACTCATCAACACCAATAAACAGAGTAAATAGTTCTCTGCTGTACCAATAGAAACCTTAATTACATGAAGACACATAAGCCCATTCCGCTTTTCCCCTATTCCCTATCCCCCCCCTCCCTCCTCCTCCTCCCCTCCCCCCTCCCTCCCTCCCCCTCCTCTCCCTACCTCCCCCCTTCCCCCTCCCCTCCTCCCAATTCCCCCTCCCCTCCTCCCCCTTTACGCCCCCTTCCTCTTCCTCCCCTCCCACCCCTCTTCTCGGCTTCCTCTCCTCCGTTTCCCCCCTCATCTTCTCTCCCCCTCTCCCGCTTCTCCCCCTTTTCTTCTTTTCTCTTCGATCTCCTTCCTGAAAACAAAACGCAGAGCAGAGTAGCGAAGAAGGAAGAAGGAATGAGAGAGAGAGAGAGAAGGAGAGAGAGAGATGGAGAGGAGAGCGAACGAAGAGAGAGGAGAGGAAAAAAAGAGAGGGGAGGAGAGAGATGAGAGAGAGAGAGAGAGATAAGCCTGCGAGATGAAGAGAGAGCGAGGAGAGAGAGAGAGCAAGAGGAGACAAGAGAGAGCAAGAGAGGAAGAGCTAAGAGAGAGCAAGAGAGAGAGAGAGAGCAAGAAGAGACGAGAGAGAGAGACGAGAGAGAGAGGAGAGAGAGAAGAGAGAGAGAAGAGGAGAGAGGAGAGAGAGAGAGAGAGAGAGAGAGAGAGAGATAGATAGATAGATAGATAAGGAAGCGAGAAGGGAGAGAGAGAGAAGAGAGAGAGAGACATAGACACAAGAGAGAAAGACAGATAGGTCAGACAGACAGACAAACCGACCGAGAGACACAGACACGCAACCAGACACCAATCAAAGTGATGAAAGGTAACGAAAGATGTTGAAAGGTGACGAAAGGTGATAAACAGTGACGAAAGGTAAATGGCCTTTGTGACGCTAAAACACGGCTGTGAAAGGTCAGTGGCGGAGGGGGGGGGGGAGGGGGGGGGGGGTGTCGGCGATGCATGATTCGAAAGGCCAATCTGTTGCCTTCCCGCTTGCATCCGAATCTTCACCTGGCGTTCTCCTTGGTCCCAATCCTTGCCTCCGATTCTCTGGTTATTCCCTCTACTCCGTTTATTCAGTCCTCTTTCGTCTTCCTTTCCTCGCCCAGTTATCCTCTATAGTTCCATCCTTCCCTGTTCCAAACCCAATTTTTTCTTTTCTTCTTCTTCTTCTCAAACCTCTTTCTTCTTCTTCTTCTTTTCTTCTTCTTCTCTTCTCCACATCTTCTCTTTCTTCTTCTTCTGGTCTTCTTCTTCTTCTTCTTCTTCTTCTTCTTCTTCTCTTCATTCTTTTCTTCTTCTTCTTCCTCCCTCCTCCTCCTCCTCCTCCTCTCCTCCTTCCTCCTCCT